ACACAACACACACTAATACCACAACACACACACACACCACACTCACACTACACACACATAAAAAACACACACACTAAAAACCCCACAACCAAAACCACACACACACACACCCAAAACACACACACACACACACACACACAAAAACACACACACTCACCACACACACCACACCACCATAACAAAAACACTACAACCAAACACTACACACACCACACCACACACACAAACACCACACACAACAACACAAAAACACACATAAAACACACAAAAACACACACACACCAACCCCACACACCCACCACACCCTACAACACCCAAAACACACACTAACAAACACTACAAAATACACACACACTACACCCCCACTACCACACACACACCCACACCAACACTCGCCACCACAACCGCACACCCCCCCATCACACCCCCATCACCCACCCCCCCACCCACCCCCCACCCCCAAAAACACCCCCCCCAAAACCCACCCCCAAAAAAAACCCACCCCCCACCCCCCCCACCCACCACCCCCACACCCCCACCCCACACCACCCCCCCCCCCCACCACCACCCACCACCCCCCCCACACCACCCACACCCCCCACTACACACACACCCACACACACACACACTACACACACACACACACACACACACACACACTACACACACACACTACACACACACACACTACACACACACTACACACACACACACACACACACACACTACACACACTCACTACACACACACACACACTACACACACACACACACTACACACCACACACTATACACACACACACACACACACACACACACACACACACACACACACACACACATACACACACACACACACTAATACACACACACTAATACACACACTAATACACACACACACTAATACACACACACTAACACACTAATCAGAACCCACACCTAGCCAAGCACGTAAAGAAAGTAGAGAAAGTGCAAAGGTTTACAAGACTAGTCCCAGAGCTAAGAGGTATGTCCTACGAGGAGAGGTTAAGGGAAATCAACCTGACGACACTGGAGGACAGGAGAGATAGGGGGGACATGATAACGACATACAAGGTACTGAGAGGAATTGGACAAGGTGGACAAAGACAGGATGTTCCAGAGATTGGACACAGTAACAAGTGGACACAGTTGGAAGCTGAAGACAGATGAATCACAGGGATGTTAGGAAGTATTTTTTCAGCCACAGAGTAGTCAGTAAGTGGAATAGTTTGGGAAGCGATGTAGTGGAGGCAGGATCCATACATAGCTTTAAGCAGAGGTATGATAAAGCTCACGGCTCAGGGAGAGTGACCTAGTAGCGATCAGTGAAGAGGCAGGGCCTGGAGCTCAGACTCGACCTCTGCAACCTCAAGTAGGTGAGTACACACTAACACACACACTAACACACACACTAACACACACACTAACACACACACTAACACACACACTAACACACACACTAACACACACTAACACACACACACACAAACACACACACAAACACACACAAACACACACACTAACACACACACTAACACACACACACTAACACACACACACACACACACACACACACACACACACACACACTAACACACACACACACACTAACACACACACACACACACACACACACTAACACACACACACACACACACAGGGGCCAGGAGCTCGGACTCGACCCCCGCAACCTCAACTAGGTGAGTACACACTAACACACACACACACTAACACACACACACTAAACACACACACACTAACACACACACACTAACACACACACACTAACACACACACTAACACACACACTAACACACACTAACACACACACACTAACACACACACACACACACTAACACACACACACACACACTAACACACACACACACACACACACACACACACACACACACACACACACACACACACACACACACACACACTAACACACATGAACACACATGAACACACACACACACGAACACACACGCGAACACTAACACTCAAAAACATGCACGCACGCACATGCTATTGATTAGAGAAGAAATTATGGGGAGTTTTTTTTTTTTTTTTTTTCAAATCAGTAGAATTAGGTCCAGCTTATTTCATGGGTCTTTATACCAAAGTCTGATGTTATGATATCGAGTTTGTTTCATTTTCACAAGAACTGCTCTGAATTAAACTCATCTCGCTCACTATTTAGCCTTGATAAAACCATCAGGCAAAAGCAGACAGCTGCCACCTCGTCAGTTTTTTGGATTTTTTCTCTTCACACCAGCGACTCCAGACTGGTTATTATTCATCTCGGTAGTATTACAGAGATTTGGATTGGTCTCCAAATTGCAGGGATGCAGAAAACTGTGTAATGCACATAAATTGCGAAGCGAAAAATGGAGTGACCTGCCAGACACCTGGACGCACCAAGAACTGAGCAGCAACACAGTGTGAGTTGGTCAGCAGGGCGGCGCACGAATGGTGTACTGTACTTGTTTTGTACAGCTATTTAAAAAACAATCGTGTGCTTTAAGGTGAGATTCGTTAATAAAAAATATTATGGTATAAATTTATTAACTGATTAAAGCGGTTCGTACACAGATATAGAATTAAACAACCGGTATCAGTCATTAAACTATTTAAGCAGCTGCTTCTGTAAGACTTCAATATTTTTTAAACATGAATTGCATGTTCAAAGCTTAATGCAATATTTTGACAAATTTGTGAATCTCATGCTTAACTGGATGTGAATTATCAATTTAGTACAGTTTGTTTACTTAGAAATTCTTAAGCTATTATTTAATGAATATATAAAATCCCGTAATTGCTGGGTAGCCCTTACAGGTTTAGCGCTTCCTTGTGAATTTAATATAAAACCCCTTCATCAGTTTTTGGGCACTGAGGCCAAAGTTGTGCATTGACTAGCATAATGCACATGGGAGTTACAATACTTTTAAAAAGCATTCTGAAATAAATAAAAAAAGGCACAGTACCGTGACTGGAACAATACACAAATAACCCATACATAGAAGAGAGGAGTTTATGACGACATTTTGATCCGACTTAGACCATTTACAAAGTCACACTGACTTTGTAAAGGGTCCAAGTCAGGCCAAAACGTTGTAAGCTTCTCTCTTCTATGTGCGGGTTATTTGTGCATTCTGAAATAAAGGCGTTCTGGTTTATAAATTAAGAGTTTTGCTTCTGCAAAAAAATTCAAATTTTGGAGATCATTCCAAATTGCTCATTGTATTGTCCGAGCCTGGGAGAATTTTTTATAAGGAGTTCAGTGTTTCTTTATTATAAGGATAACCATTAGGGTGAAAAATGAATCTTTTTAAATACTGAAGTTTGAATGGGAGGGAATATATATATGCTGGTGGTAAGGAGAGTTCAAGATCTAACAAATGGTAGTATGAAAGGATTTTTTTTTTTTTTTTTTACTGGAACATGGCTGTGTGGAAACTTTACAGGGAAGAATTAATTTTAAAAATGTTTGAAAAGCTGTTGATAAAATGTAATAAATTTGGCAGAAGACTAGGATAAAGTAGAATAAAGAGAGAAGAAGGAAGTTTGGAAATAGTTTTCAGAGATCACTGTACATATTTGTGATAACTAGATAGGTGGAGTGGTTTTTGTTTTGGCTTGTAACTTAGGCATAAAAAATGTGTTAGGACGGGATATTGCTATAAATTGCTGATACTGTCATGATAAGCAAGACAGCACATTTTGCCACTTTCTGTAAATCATTTGTTCATATATTTGTCATTGAAGGTGAATGCTAGGCTTTGAATGAGGAGAGATTGAGCTTGAGAAAATGTAGGAGGAAAGAACTACACGAGATGTACATGAACTATTGCTAGTGAAGATGGAATGATGTATTCCATAACATGAGGAGAAGCAGTGAAGTTATTGTAGATGAAGTTATTTGAACATTAAAATGGTATAAAATACCGACAGGTTGTTAGGTAAGACACATATGCAACAGTTAGGTATCTTTGTTTCGAAACGTTTCGCCTACACAGTAGGCTTCTTCAGTCGAGTACAGAAAAGTTGACAGAAGCAGCTTCTATCAACTTTTCTGTACTCGACTGAAGAAGCCTACTGTGTAGGCGAAACGTTTCGAAATAGATACCTAACTGTTGCATATGTGTGTTACCTAACAACATGAAGTTGTTTGTTGAAATCGTCGAGGACACAGTTCATCCTGTGATTCATTGCTGTGAAACATGGTGTTTGTTACCAGATTATCAAAACCTTTTTTATTTTGCAATAAGGGGAGGGATAAGGATAGGAGAATTGTATAGCATAGAGAGGAGTAGCAGAAAAAAACAAAGTTACAAGTACGTAGATAATTTGAGGATATGAGAAAAATTCATTAAACCATTTGGGATGTTGACGTGGGTTGAATGGACTTTGGATTGGGTGTAACTGGATGGAAAATACTACATTTGCTATCCTACTAGATAAGAGGATATGGTATACTCAAGATAGTTACAGCATCCCATTGCAATTTACATGAAAGTGAGTATGTTACATGAACAATGGTAATTTCTGTACTTATGTGTCAATTTTGTTTTTTTTCTTGTACAAGAATCCTGCCTGATAAACTTGTGCAAGGGTTTCAAATTTATCTCTGAAAGAGTTGGAAATTTCAGTTACAAATTGAATTACATCTCATGACACATTTCATAGGTTTATATTCCTGCAACAGTGAGCTAAAGCTTCTCAACCCAGTTTTTTTTCCAGTGTGTTTCCTTCAAGTTAGGAAGCATTTAACATTGACAAAATGTTACCAGTGTGAAAAAATGATCTCTTGCTGAAAGCTTTCTTTTCAGATGTTGAGTTACATATTGCTAAGAGGGTTAGTACTTCCTCTTAATACTTATTTCACTATGATTGATTTCACTTTCCCTTATCCATTTGAGTGGTTTCTCATGGAAATTATTGCTCTTGAATATTTTTGTGCATTTTCTTTTTTTTCAGATAAACATTCCAATATGGGAGAGAGTTATCGGGAAGGACGGGACATCAGGGATGGTGAACGAGACAGAAATGATAGAGATAGGAGAGAAATGTATCGAAATGATATCTACGATAGAAGAGATTCTAGAAAATATGGTCAAGGTATTTAGCAATTTTTCTTGTTTAACAATTGAGTTTTCTATGTAAATTTTACTTTGAGTTGCTTCTTTTGGGTTTTTTGTTTTTAAATATATACCACAATACTTAGTTTATTAATTTATTTTTTGTAACGTATATTTTTAAATATGTATTTACTTTTTAGTACAGTGCTGAAATATTTTTATTATTTACTTCAGTTGTTTGTGACATTTTTATTGGCACATAAAGCTTTTATGTAATATAAACAAAGACATACTGCTGAAGGAAATTAAGAGGAGTAGAACTGATGAGCTACACCAAAAGCATTGCACTTATACCATTCTCACAAAACGGTGAAGTTTGAAGCTTTGGCAAGCCCGTCCTAAAAGTAGTAGGCTAGTGCATTATTCATTGTACTATACCAGCCTAAAAAGATTCATCCAACTAAGTATGTATATGTATATAAAAACCTGCATTTGTGGTCATAGGGAGGGTCATATTAATCTTCATAGTGGGAATAGCAGTATGTCAGTACAGATTCCACTGTACCATACTAGGCCAGCATGGTACAGTGGAATCCGTACTGGCCTGCTTAGTTTACGGATTAGCGTGCCATAGGTTGAACCCTTCTTCATTCAGTGAGTGGTGTACACTATTGTCATTACAATTTTAAGTAATTAATACATTCAATGAATGTCAGGAAGACACAAAATAAACTGTTCTATCATTTTATGTTTGAGGCCTAACTTGGGACTGAGAAGAAGCTAGTGTTTCCATTGTTGGAAAAAGTTAAAAACTATTTTCATTATTTACAACCAGCCTTGATATGTATATACAGTGGACCCCGGTTAACGATTTTAATCCGTGCAGAGGGCTCATGTTATGCGGAAAATAATCGTTATGCGAATGAATTTTCCCATAAGGAATAATGGAATAAATTACATCCGTGCAGACGCCCAAAGTATGAAAAATATGTTTTTTACACATGAAATGTTTAATTTTAATACACACAACTGAAAAGCAATGCACATTAATGGACACTTACTTTTATTGAAGATCTGGTGATGATTGATGGGTGGGAGGAGGGGAGAGAGTGGTTAGTGTTTAGAAGGGGAATTCCCCTTCCATTAGGACTTGAGGTGTATGTCCCTTTCTGGGTGTTACTTCCTTCTTCTTTTAATTGCCACTAGGGCCGCAGCTTCAGAGTCATGGATTCTTTCGCCTGCAAGATATCTGTTCCATAGGGGGCCTGTACCTCTGTTCCTATATGACTTGCCTAAGTGTTTCACAACATTGGTCAGTGTTATAATCACATCACGGGCTTGCATTAGCTGGGTGAGGGGTGATTTTCATCCATGAAGTTTGCACTTCAAGACACTTAGCAAGATTTCCTCGTTATCTTTGTTAGTAGGCAACTTCTTAAAATTTCTCTCTCCCTCCTCTGAACTGTTTTCAGGTTTTCTGGCCTCTTGCTCTTGAAAGTTGATTATCAGCTCATCAGTGGTTGTTCTTCTTGTCTCCTCCACCAAACTCTTCCACATCCTCCCACTAACCTCCAACCCCAAGGACTTTCCAATGCCACAATGGATTCTCAACCTGGCACAGGCTTCTCGGGTTAGACTCAAACCGCTTCAAAAAATCCCTTTTGTTCTAAACATTCTGGCCACAAGGTTCTTCCAAGCAGAGTTCAGGTCCTCTTAGTTCACTTCCTCACAAGCCTTACCTATAAGGTTTACACAATTGAGGATATTAAAATAAAGGGTGATCTCTCAAAACTCTCTTAGAGTCAGTTGAGTTTCGAGGTCATTACAAGCACCTTTCAAACAGAGCTTTTGTGTACAGTTTCTTGAAGGTGGAAATAAACCTGCTGGTCAATGGGCTGCAGGAGAGGAGTGGTATTAGGAGGCAAAAATTCACCTTAATGAAGCTCATGTCCCCAATAAAGTCGCTTGCCAGTCTGTAGGATGACAGGGGATTGTCTAACACCAGGAGGCACTTAAGTTCTAATTCTTTTCAGTTAGGTAATTTTTCTCTTTGGGGGCAAAATGAATGGGGTAAAACCAGTTATAGAAAAATTCCCTAGACTGACCCAGCCTTACTGTGTGCCCTCCACTGCACACACAAATTATCCTTGGACATTCTTTTGCCTGAACGCTCTGGGAGTTTCAGAGTGATACACTAATCAAGGCTTCACTTGCATCCAGTAGCATTGGCCACATCAACAAAGTTAGCCTGTCTTTCATAGGCTTATGTCCTGGGAGTGGCTTTTCCTCCTGAGTAATGTTAGGGTCCTGCTTGGCATTTTCTTCCAGAACAGGCCTGTTTTCATCACAATTAAACACTTGTTCAGGTTCAGTCCTCAGTTTCTATGTTTACTCTTGGAATTCCTGCACTATTTTCAGCCGCTTTGTGTGGTCCGAACTGGCAGCCGACCATGCCTTATACATATGGATGCCACTAAGCTTCTTAAAATCTCTAAACCAAACCTTTGCTGGGCCTTTAATTTTCACTCACATCATCCACTAGTTGCAGGCATTTTTTTAATTAATCCTAATTGCAAACTTCCTAGCCTTTTCACATATGATTGCTTGAGAGTGCTATTCCGCGATCTGTTTTTCATTTATCCACACAAATAAGGAGTCTCTCACATCTTCCATCACTGCGTTCTTTGTTCGAAAACACGTTGAACCTTGGCAAGAACAGCTTCCTGATTGTCTGTCTGGTGCCCAAATAGTAGCGATGGTTGCTTGGGGTTTCTTGTCAGCTTGACTAGGTCGGCTTACGCACTCCACTTTCTACTTATCAATTATCTCTTCTTCATCTCTTAGTAATTCTTACCCCTTTGAGGTGTAGGGGTTGGCACTAGAAGCTTTTCTTGGGGCCCATGTCACTTATTCTTCAGAAAACAGCACGAAAATACTGTAATAAATACGAAATATTCCGAGTGTATGCTTGGATGTTACCGCGGAGGCTGGCTGGTAAACAATGGGACGGTGCGGCACATGTGAGGCTGGCTGAGGGCACATTGGACGCGTCTCGGACGAAATCGGTAAGCGGGTTTTATATCGGTTATGCGCGGCAAAAATTTGCGATAAAAGTAATCGTTATGCGGAAAAAAATCGCTATGTGATGCCATCGTTATGCGGGGGTCCACTGTACAAGACAGTATATGAAAGTGTTCTTTTGTAAAAAGGGTTATAGTAGAGAGTAATGGGTATGAAGGAAGAAAGAAAAATTAGGAGCTTTCATGCCAAATGGGGAAAAGTAAACAGTAGGTGGTGAAATTTCAGTTATCAGTATTTTGGGGTGCTTGTCATTTTACAAGCATTTCAAAGAAATTAAATTGTACTTGTAGTACTTTATTTTTACAAGAGAACACTCCTTAGATTTTTTAAACGTGTTATCAGAAAGTTTTATAATTTATTCAGTATTACCTGCATTTTCCAGCTATTCTATCCACATGCTAAATATGTCCAGTTTACAATAACCTAGTAAATACTGTGTCTTTACTAGGTTATCTGTGTATAATGTATGGCGTGTACCAAGTTGGGGTTCCTTCATTTTTCTAACGACATGAGATTACAAATATACTCCTGGTCTCTTGTTAATTGTTTTGTTTCCTGTGTACACAGTGCAGTCCAATACCAGGTCAATTTCATAATTGCACAACACTCTTGGCTTGATACCAAAGCTATTCCTTTTACTTGGTATTATGTACTGCTTGAACAACAGTCTACCTTTGAACAGGATCATACTCATCAGTGATGAGGTTCGTGAAGGGATGGAAAAAAACTTTCTGAACTTCTGTTTGAGATGCGCACACACATCCCTAATCTTGTATGACATGTCATTCCTGTTGAGCCTTGTCTTGTCTGAGAATTGTAGCATGTGTAGTAGCAGGATAAATCAGTTGATGGGGATGAGATCATAGAATGCCAGGGTACATATAAGATGGTCAGTTTAATTTAAGTACTGAGATCTGTGTGCTGCCAACATTTCCTCTGACTTTTCTTCCTCATCTTATAGTACACCTACCATCCGACTTACTACCTGCTCGACATACGACCATTCAACTTAGGACCATGTTTTCTATGCCAAACTTCTGGGAAATAAACAACTGTTTGTGTTGTACAGTGTTTATCCTAAACCTTACAGTATAAAATACAGTACTAACAGCATAAAAAGTAAAGTAAAAAATGAAATAAAATAAAGTCATTACAAAAATGTGATGTTGAAATTCAGTAGTAAGGTTCGACTTAGGTCCATTTCGACTTACGACCAGTTTCTTGGAACCAAACTTCGTCGTAAGTTGGATGGTACCTGTAGTTTGAAGACATGCAGGAAGATGTAAATAAAGCCCTTACCTGGCAGTCTCCTTTGCAGCTGAATTTCCTGGCTCTTGGTCTCAGTTGAGGAGGAAAAACCTGTAGAATTACTCAATGCACTAGTACAGTGGTCCCTGAATAATCGTAAGGCTCGATAGTTGTAATTTTTGAAAATCGTAACGTTATTTTCATCAAAACATTGGCTCGTGAATCGTCGTTTGACTCGCAAATAGTCGTTTGTCTGGGACGTGTACACACAGCCCTGAGCCGCCTCACACTCCATTCCCAGCCAGTGTGCCATTGTTTATCAGTGAGTGAGGATGATCCCACGAGTTCATATGATACATTTCATAATATTCCATTTATTTTAGTGCTTGCAACTGCTAAATAAGTCCCCATGGCTACAAAGAAACCTTCTAGTGCCAGCCCTTTGGTAAAGAATGTGAGAAACACACACAATTTAAGAAAAAGTTTGTAGAAAAATACGAAGGTGGTGGTAGAGTGGAAGCAGTTGTGATAGTGGCTGATGGTGGTATAGGGTGGTAGTGATGGTAGTAGGTGGTAGTGATGGTAGTAGCAGTTGTAATAATGGTATAAGGTGGTAGTGATGGTGATAGCAGTTGTAACAGTGGTAGAAGGTGGTAGTGATGGTGGTAGACAGTGGTAGTGGTTGTGATGGTGATAGAGGGTGCCTTCTTC